GTAGTAAAGGGGATGAGAAGGGAGATCTAAGTGATGTAAAAACAGAAAATATAAATAAAAATCTATTAAAAAATTAACAGAGCAGTAGTCAATCCCTGAGGGCTGTGGGAAAAAGGAACAATGATAAAATGAATCATATTTGTTTAGTGCTTTTAGACAGACCAAGCATCTTTCCTCAAATCCCTATTAGGTGAGTGTGAGCATTCTTATCCCCATTATAAAGATGAGCAAAAAGAAGGTGAAAGAGGTGCAGTATCATAACCAAGATAACAGGGCTGGGAAGGGTCAGAGCTCAAGCATCCAGGGCTTCTGACTTCAGAATTTGCCGAGTGCCACAAAGGTGCTCTGAAAAGTGCTTCTGGAGGGAAGGGGGTTTACTATACAGGAGGCCCTATTATTCCCATGTTCTCTGCTGCCCATCCTTGGCTTTCCCCCATGTTTCCACCACTCTGCACCACATGTATTTCATTTTATTTGACTCCTGTGAGAGATTTCAATTTGGGAATTGGGAACCACTTGGGGGGGGGGGTGTCACTGATTTATCTTTTCTTTCTGGTGCAACTCCTGGTGGCTGAAGTCTACAAGACCTCGGCACTTCTGTCCAACAGGTGAACACCAAGAACTAGATTAAAGGGAGAAAGGACCTCTGAATGTGACAGCAAAAGACAAGCAGACAGAGGAGTCCAGAGGAAAGGGGCCTGGCTTTGGAACGAGAGGACCCGGGTTCAGATGCCACCTCATAGCTTCCCTGGGCCTCAGCAAATGTCTGCAAAATGAAGGTGTTTGACTCAATGACCTCTGAAGACCCTCCCAGCTATTTACGATCCCTCTCTCTCTAATTAACATAGGAGATCCCAACAAATCACACAAGAACTGACTAAAACCAGGTCAGACCTTTGACTGTTATCTCATACTACTCCCCACGAAGAATGAGGGAATCTGCACCCAAGCCAAACTGGATTACTCTTTGTGGCCTCAAAGTGTCTTGTGCTCTTCCACCTCCTGGCCTTTTTTCACACAGTCCTTTATACTTAAAATGTCTTCCCTTGCCCTTTTTGCCTGTTGAATTCCTATCTTTCCTAGTATTAAGTATTATAGTAGTGAGAGCTGAAAGAACACTTAAAGATCATCTAGCTTAGAATATAAACAGGCAGTTTTCAGATGAAGAAATTAAAGCTATCTATAGTCATATGAAAAAAAATTCTCTAAATCACTATTGATTAGAGAAATGAAATCAAAATGACTCTGAGGTACCACATCATACCTATCAGATTGGCCAACATGATAAAACAGGAAAATGATAAATGTTGGAGAAGATGTGGGAAAATTGGAACACTAATGCATTGTTGGTGGAGTTGTGAAATGATCCAACCATTTTGGAGAGCAATTTGGAACTATGCTCAAAGGGCTATAAAAATGTGCATACCCTTTGACCCAGCAATAGCACTTCTAGGGATGTATCTCAAAGAGATCATAAAAATGAGAAAAAGACCCACATGTACAAAAACATTCATAGCAGCTCTTTCTGTGGTGGCAAAGAACTGGAAATTGAGGGGATGCCCATCAATTTGGGAATGGCTGAACAAGTTGTGGCATGTGAATGTAATAGAATACTATTGTACTATAAGAATTGATGAACAGGCAGAATTCAAAAAAACTTGGAAGGACTTACATGAACTGATGCAGAGTGAAATGAGCAGAACCAGGAGAACATTATACACAGTAACAGCCACATTGTATAATAATTAACTTTGATAGACTTAGCTCTTCTCAGCAATGCAAGGATCTAAGACATCTCCAAAAGTCTCATGATGGAAAATGCTATCCACATCCAGAGAAAGAACTATGGAGTCTGAATGCAGATCAAAGCATATTGTTTGCTCTTTTTTTTCTTCTGTTTTTTTTTGTTTCTTCTTTCTTGTGATTTCTTCTATATTGGTTCTAATTCTTCTTTACAACATGACTAATATGAAAATATGTTTAATAAGAATGTATATATAGAGCCTATATCAGATTGCACACTGTCTTGGGGAGGGAGACAGGCAGGGATGGGGAGAAAATTTAAAACTCAAAAGCTTATGAAAGTGAATGTTGAAAACTAAAATTAATTTTTTAAAAAAAGATCATCTAGCTTAACTCCCTTCTTAGATAAGGAAACTGAGGCCTGAGAAGTTTAAGTAATTTCCCCAAACTCACAAAGAAAATAGCAGATTGGAGATTCAAATCCAGATCTTCCAAGTCTGTCTGTGCCCAATCCTCTTGTCACTATGAAGTGTAACTCAAATGTCCTCTCTTCTAATAAGCCTTCCTGATTTTCCCAGTTGATGATAGCTAACCTCTTTCTCCTCCCCAACTGAAATAGCATTTTTTCTTTAATTTCGCTAATGTATTTATAGCATATAATTTGTATTATTAACAGTATCTTTGCCATTTCCCCTTAATAGATTGTAAATTCGATGAAAACAGGCAATGTGTCTTATCTACACTTTATATGTCCCCAGGCTCAACAAAGGTGAATTATGATACATTGCTGAGCCTTAAGGTTTGTTTATGGAGCTATATTGATGCCTCTCCTTTAGAGTGGAACAAATTCTCATTCTAAGGCACTTGGATTCTAATCCTGACACTGCCTAGGCCTTAACCTCTCTGGGTCTCGGTTTCTCTACCAGCAATTCCCTCTGTTGCCCAATTTGCCTTGACTTCTGAGTAACTCAAACCCTCTGGAAATCTACAGGGTTGCTCAAAGGATTAATTCAATCATGGGAACATGGCATGGGAACAAGAAGAATGAATTAAGTGATCTCCCTCACCATCTTCATGTGCCACTCCCTGCTTGTGCTCCGGATCCCACGTTCTGCAGGAGACCTTTCACAGATCCTCCCTTCACCCCAGTGACTAGTGCCTTTGCTCTGAGGTTACCTTCAACCTACACCATGTATATCTTATGAGTGTCCTGAGGACAGGGAATATTTTACCTCTCTTTGTGTCCTCAGTGCTCATCAAAATGCCTGTCATGTAATAAGCACTAATAGATGCTCATTCACTGATAATTGACTCTCCCTCTGACTCAACACTCCATCTCCCAGCCTAGGCCCTGGACTTCTTACCATCGCTAGCAGAACCCAGAATCACCAACTGCTTGTTCCCAGCCCCCTTCATTCCATGTCACCAGAGCCTACCTCCCCCCCTCCTCCACTCCTTCCCCCCCACCAAAAAAAAAAAAGTTTTCACCTCTAGCTCTGGGAACAATAACCAAATCCACACCATCCCAAGGAAGGAGAAAACCAATAAATTGCTCTGGGATGCTGCTTGCCATCCCTTCAACTTTTCCAACATCTTAACTTCCAGGACCAAAACAACCCTCCCTACCCATCAATCAATAACATGTGTTGTCTTCTCCCTATTAGAATGAGTGCCTTGAACACAGAGATTGTCTTGTGTTGTCTTTTTTTTAAAATGTGTATCCCCAACTGCTTAGCACAGTGCCCATCACATATGAAGTATTTCACAAATTTTTTTCACTTGTGTATAAAAAGAAAATGATCATTTTAATATGAAGAAATATGGTCTCATAGAAAGCATATGGGACTGGGATGTCAGATGTTAGTGATGCTCCTGGCCCTGCCACTGATTCCCTCTCTGTGTGATCTGGTGCAGCAATAAGGGTTCACATGCATGTGACACTTTGTGCTCTGTGAAATGCTTTCCTCAAGTAAGAAGACCAGGGATTTTGTTGCAGGCAAGATTTCATAACAGAGAAATGAAATAGGATAAAGGAACTAATCTCCCTGAAGCCCTTTTGTCTCAAGTTAAATGCATGGCAAACCGGGGTATCATGAGGGACAAAAAGAAACCAGTCACCCCAGGTCCATGTATGCACAAACTGGCAACTTAGCTTAAGAAACTCCAAAGGAACTGAGAATGACAAAGCCCTTCATGCAAATGAAGCTGGGGTAAAGACCTAGAGTTTCAGGTGGAACTGTGACTCTATCCTGAGTTGCTTAGCCTTGCATTCTTCTCTTTGTTAATCTGTAACAACAAAATCACTGGTCTCCCTAAATTCACAACAACCCTATGAGGTGAATAAGGTTAGTATTATTTCCTCTATTGTATAAATGAAGAAAATGAGCCTCAGAAAGGGGAAACTTGGCTGAGGTCACAGCTAGTAAGCAACAGAGTGGGCATATAACACGACAAGCTTTACTTTTCCTCTCTGGGCCTATTCTGTAAAATAATATGGATTACATATTTATGCAGATTGATTTAAAATGTAAAAGCTATTCTTACCTTGTGGGGTGACTTAGTTTGCTAACTCCTGGATTAGATGATTTCTAAGGGCCCTTTTGGCAGCTAGGTGGCACAATGAGTAGAGTGCCAGGCCTGAAGTCAGGAAGACTCATCTTCCTGAGTTTGAATCTGGCCTCAGGCATGTAATTGGATGTGTGACCCTGGGCAAGTCACTTAGCCCTATTGGTCTCAGTTTCTTTAACTGTCAAATGAGCTGGAGGAAATGGCAAACCACTCCTGTGTCTTTACCAAGAAAACCCCAAATGGGGTTGATAGGAGTAGGACATGACTGAACAACAACAAAAAGGCCCTTTTAGTAGTGAGTCCTACAACATGTGAGATCAGTGGGCTTACAGCTGCAGTACATGGCAGGTTATCTCCCTGGAGCCACAGGGAAGAAAACTCATCCAGCTGTAGTTTGTAGCCCCAGAGAGAGATGCTCCTTTACCCAAATTCTGGCATGCAGCCCAAAGAATCTTGTTTTCCTGGGTTCCCCCAGATCCTGGCCTGTGTGTACTTAAGTGATGTTACCCTTGACCATTCTCCCATCAGCATCTCTTCCATGGATAGAGAGAGGTATGTCAGAAAAAAGCTGGAGAAGTTGAATACTCAGGCATGTGAAGTTAGAGATTCCTTGACTGTGGGGACCTTAGTTTCTTTTATAATATCCCCTACAGTGCCTCATGCAATGAACATGGAATCTGCTTACCCACCAGTTCAGGTAAGGTCAGATGGTTCAACTTCCCTCCCAGGAATCCTCATCCATTCATTGATCCAGGTCCCAAATACATGGCCTCTGCCATTTTAGCCATGCTGTCTGCCCAGGAGTGAGGAGCACTGGCTGATCCCCAGCAATCCAAGTTGCCCTGGGCCCTGGCTAAACGATGGCTCCACTGCAGCTGGTAGAGGAGGGGCCAGTGTGTTCCACAACCCCCCCCCCTTTCCCACCCCTCAATTCTTTTCACTCCTCCCTCCCTGTCACCCCTGGCAGACTGGGCAGTGGCTACATTTTATTCATATCTCCCTGATTGGGATGGAAATAACCACATTGTCTGTCACACAATCCAGGCCTCAGGACTGATTGTGATGCAAACAGGGACCTCCTCACCCCTCTCCCTCAATCTCCTCTGCCCAGAGGAGCCTTTATGAGGCCTTGAAAAGGTGAAAGAAATTGTAAAAAAAAAAAAATGTCATAGCTGTTCATGCCTGGAGTTCTCCGTTTAAAACAATAACAGTAACAACAACTCTTAATTTTATTTTCTTAGTTTGGGGGGGGGGGGAGTGAAATAAAACTTACAGGAAGGTAGGTTGTAACTCCTGATGAACCAAAGCACCAGTGTACAATAGTGGTATTCTTGCTACTTGCTGGATGTTTACTTATAATTTTGCCTGGAAAAAGTTGCTAAATTCAAATCAAATCAGGTTCTTCCTCTTTGGAGCTTCCTCCAACCACCTCCATAATCCTTCCCTAGGTGATAGCCCCTGCTGGGCTCCTCACTGGGGTCTGAAGACTCCCAGGCTGGACCCCACCCCCTTTCCTCTAAGGCAAAATGCAAAGAATCCTAGGAAACCCAGTAGGGTTTTCTCCAACTCCCTTCATTTCTGGGACATAGAAGCTGCACCCCCTCCCCCCCAAAAAAAGGGTAGAGTTACCTGATAAAGGAAATGGTTAATTAAAATGAGGCTTCACACACCTTGTGTGATTCAGTGTTTAGAAAACAAACAGAAAGGGCTGACTCCAAACAAGGAACTCATTTTTATAGTAAACATATTTAAGAGGCCTCCTGTGTAAACAAGCATTGTTGTTGGGGGGGAGGAATGGGGGGGTTGGACTGGATTAACATTGTGCATAGTTGGGGGTTTTTTTAAGCTCCAATAAAAGCCATTAAGGGATTAACACCCCGATTTATGAAAATGGAGGATGATAAAGAAACAATGGGGTGACAGCATTGTGTAAACGACATTGATTCATTTCAGAGACAGGGCTGTTAACTGCAAGAAATGAAGAATAAATGGAACAATGGGGAGATGCTTTTACCAGCTTGTCATTAATTAGCCTAGAGTACAATTGTTTTATTGTCCTTTTTGAAAAATACAAAATTGGTAGGAAAATACAAGCACTGAGCAAATAGATTATTCTGTGTCACTGGGTTGACATCTGCATTTTCTTCCCCCAACTGCTATCTGAGAGATTTTTGGTTTCCTAAAAGATAAGAAACTTTCATCTGGCAGAGAGCTTTAGTTTGGTTTGAATGGCGTGAAGTCCCCCAAATGATTTCTCTACCCCTACCTTCTCTTGCCCTTCCATCTGCCCCCATACCCACATTGCTAACTTCCTTCAGAACCTCATGCAGGTTTGGATGCAGCTATTGCTAACCTGGCTGGCACATTTATGTACTCACTCTCCTTCACTCAGTCACTAGTTTCTAGTAGTTGGTAGGTAGGTATGGGGTGGGGGGATCATCTGGTCCCAGCTCTGGGGTTTTTATTCTTGGCAATCCTAGCAGGTGGGAAGTGACAAGTTACTTTGGGAACACAAAGAAAGATGGGCTTCTGAGGAGGAGGGGGGCATGAGTTGGAATGAAGTTTAGGTGGTTGGCACAGGTCGATATAGGTACAACATATTATGGAAAAACATTGAAGCTACCTCTGCCAGGTGCTGTCAGAACCCCGCAATGGCTTTCTTGAGGCCAGGATGTGTTTCCCTTTTTCCAATACATCTTGTCTATAGTTAGGAGCGGAGACAGTTAGAACAAGCATATATGTTTATATAATGAAATGTATTCTCTGGGCAAAGAAATTGAGCTCAGTTCACATTGGGTCCACATGACAACCATTTGATTTTCACAATAGCAGTCAACTCCACTTCTGTTTTTGGAAGGAAACCTTCATGCAATGATGAAAGGTTTAAATGAGGTTTCAATTGGTTCTTGAAGGTTTTTCTTGGATTAGGAGTCTTTTAAAAAGTAGACATTTTCTGTGATATGCATGCATATGTGCTAGGAATATAAAACATTTATATTAAAAACCTTATGAATTAAGAATAGACAAAAGAATAGGATAGATTATACATTTGAAAACAGAGGCATTTGGAGAATTTCCATGTAGATAAGAAATCCTCCATCTAATTGGACTTCATGCCAGACATCCTTCACAACACTGAAAACCCTTGAATGAGTATATATGTCTCCTTGTCTGATACCTCAGTTGATGTTGTTATTCAGCAGTTATTGACCAGTCATTTCTGTGCTTCATTTGTCTTGAAATCTTGCATGATGCTAACATATGTATGCAACACATCATTTAAGAAGAGCTTTTATGACTTCATTTTGCAGTACTTGAGTCAAATGCTGCTATAGGACATTGACTGCCAACACCATCTGCTTTCTTCTCATACTTTCATCAAGGATTGCTTGATGAGTACATAGACCACTTTCATAAAGCTTTTATAAAGGGAGAAAAGTAGGCATATGAGCGCTAGTTGCTGATGTCTTCTTAGTGACATTTCTTTGATAATAGTACCATCTCTGAGACCTTTTCCATTATTTTAGAACCTCATTTGTGAATGATACTGTGTGAATTCCATCAAACCTTAAACACTGTAGAATAAGAGTTCTTAAACTGGAGTCAATGGAGGGGTCTATGCATAGATTTCAGAGGATGGGAAAAATTTGCATTTTATTTTCACTAATCCTACATGAAAACATTTGCTTCAATTATTTAAAAACATTGTTCTGAGAAAGTGGTGAAAGCTTAACCAGACTGCCAAAGGGGCCCATCAAACAAACACAGGGTGCCCATGCAGTATACATACATGTTAAGAACTCTTTTTTAGAGCCTTCTTAACAAGATCAACAGTCATTCTATATTCATCTACACAGGAAAAGCCCATTGGATTAGAAAAAAAAAGTACCTCTACCCAGACTATACATTGGATTAGTCCATTAATGCATATATCTTAGACAGTTGTCATAGGTGGACAATGAGTTGGGCCCAGGATTAAATAGATGAAGTTGATTGGTTTGGATTTCATTTGAGGAACTACTCAATGCTTTCAATAATCCCAAATTGACAATTACTATAAAACCCGTCTTTTTTTTTTAAGCACACATAATCTCTTCTGCAAATTATGGAATACACTATCAGTAGAATCAAAATTGTAGATGCCCCAAAAGAACAACAGGAAGATAAGCATGTCTATTATGGAAGACTAAGGCATGACTCAAGTAAGAGGAATGGTGCAAAAAATATCATCAAGTATATAAGTTATGAATGAATGAATGAATGAATGAATGAATGAAAAAGTACTTCAGTGCTTACTATGTTCCAAGTGCTATGCTAAGTACAAACTAAGTACATATTTAAAAAAAAAGGCATGCCAGTCATAGAATGAGGGCAAAGGATAACCAGTAGCAGTCTGAGTATTGTTCTGCTATCAACTGAATGTTAAGATGACAAGAGTAAAGTCACCAGTGTATTTAGTAGATTGTGTGTGTGTAGGTTTTACAGAAATATATGGACAAGAAGTACACAAGATGAGCTACAAATTGTCCTGGTGAACAGGCAATTCATACCAATAAGATCAGGAACCCATTGAAACTAGAAGATTATCCATAACTACCTGCTAAAATGAAGAAGGTGTTCAGTTTAAGAAGACCAGCTAGCCAACTATTGAATGAAACTTAAGTTCATATTCCTGTTTTAAAGGGTAATCACTTATTATTTTAAATTTCTTGTTTGTTGATGTCAATTTATAGACCCTTAATGTGAAATTCATGGCTAAACCCCAAAATTCAAGTATATTATCATTTACTCATAAGCATTTGTGGCCCTAGTAGAAAAAAGGCTAATTTGCTTAAACAATGATTAGCCTTCACAATAAAAGTACAAATAAAATGCTAATTCACTAATTGCATAATTGCTTTTTCTTGCTGTTCATTGGTTTTTTTCCAGGACATGCATACATGTAATGTGTATGTCTAATGTGTTTATAGAAACTTCCCTCTAGAATCTTTGAACCTGAAGGGACATGCTAAATCTAGATTAGGGGTGGGGAACCTAAGGCCTGGAGGCCACATGTGGCCCTCTAGATCTTCAAGTGTGGCCCTTTGACTGAATCCAAGCTTCACAGAACAAATCCCCTTAATAAAAGGATTTGTTCTGGAAAACTTGGACTCAGTCAAAAGAGCCACACTTGAAGACCTAGAGAGCCACATGTGGCCAACAGGCTGCAGGTTTCTCACCCTTGATCTAGATCATCTCACCAAACGTACTCTTTTTATAGATGATGAAATAACATGTCAGTAGAGGAAATGACCCTCTTAGGTCAATAAGGAAGTTAGTGACAGAGAAGAATTTAAACCCAAATCTCTTAACTCTTAACCCAAGATTCTTTCTACAAAGCCAGCACTTTCCAGGTTTTTTTTTTGTCTCAGGACTCTTTTGCACTCTTAAAAATTATTGAGGACTCCGAAAAGTTTTTGTTTATGTAGGCTATATGCAGGGATGTGCTGGCAAATGTTTAACAACTAGTACAACACATTTTTAAGTTTCATCTGCATTATTAATATCTTATCTATTACTCTTAAGACCAGACAATCAGTAAAACAATAAGTCAAGTCCTCATTTGCAGCTGGTTTGCAGATTTCCGAAGTGTCAATGCTCACATTGAAAATTTAACAGTCAGTTTGAGCTAGTTAGAGCTGGTTCCAGCACACTATGGGTTATATCTATGGCCATTTATCATATTAGAAATTAAAACTGATCATTTAAAAATATGTTTATTCATTTCAAAAGAATAATGATGAAACTATTACATGTTAAAATGTTTTATGAGAAATAACTATATTTTCCAAAATAAAATAATCAGTAAAACAAGTGGCATTGTTTTACTTTTTTTTTT